AAATAAAAATGAAATAAATACATTTTATTCATTTTTTGTTTTTTTTCTATTATTTTTTCTATTATTTGAATAAAAGGCGTATCGTATGTAATAGATAAATAATAATTTATATATATATATATGTATATATTGAAATTAATATATATATATGTATATTGTAAGAAATCGAGATTATTAAAACGAAGAATTTAATTACGGATGACCGTTAAAAGTTTCAACTGTTCTTAGAAAGCGCGGAAAGTACGAAGGTTCGAGAAAGGTGTTTGAAAGTCACTCAACAAAATATTCACTTGAAGACAAAGACTGTTATTTATTACGAAAGACTCCCGTATACAAAATCAACTATCTTTTTCGGTATACTGCTCGAAGGAGAGTCCCGGGCCTTTCCGCTCGCTAGCTTAAATACCCTTTTGACTCTTCCGCGCGCGCCGCTTTAGTTTGCGCCTATACGCTTATCGCCGAGGGCAGTAGTTATCGGGGACAGCTGTCGTATCGGCGCGTGCGCAATCAGCCGATCGGTGGCGATTGCTTTCAATATATATATATATATATATATATAAATTTCAAAACGTAATTATATATTTATATAAATTATCTATCTATTTAATCTATTACACACGATACATCTTTTATTCAAATAATAGAAAAAATAATTAATAGAAGAAGAAAACAAAGAATGAAGAAAATTTATTAATTTCATTTTTTTTTGTTTTTATATTTTTTTAATTTTTATTCAAAATAATATATTAGCAAAACCATTTATTGACTTGTAATCATATTATGCTAATCGATGTACAGCATTCATCTTATATGATTTTCATGTATTAACTACCTCATAATACTATTATAAATTAATGTAAAATTTAATTTCCATTACTTTTATATTTTTATATATGATGAGCAAATGTAAAATATTTCTTATCCGTGTGCTTAATATACAGAGTGTCCAATAACTAACGGATCAACAATTACAAATGGATTCTTTGGTCAATTTGGGAACAATTTTTCCTCAGCGAAAATGTCGAAAAAGGTCATCATTTTTTACAACTTTCCAATATTTGTCATTATGTATTTTTATAACTAAGTCTCAAATTAAAATTTTATTATAATAAACTCTACCTGAAATTAACTGAAGAATGTAATTATGTTAGACTTTTAACTCCAAAACGTTTAGTTTTTAAAAAACCCATTTTTTTCAATCGCTTATAACTCGAAAATATTGACTTCTCAACTTTTTTGCTAAGAAAAATCGTCTCCAAATTGGCCAGAAAATCCGCCCTTAATCATTGGTCCGTTAGTTACCGGACACTCTGTATATTAAAATATAATTATTATATAAATAATTAAATAAAAATATATATAATAAATAATTTATTATATTCATAAAAAAAATTTATGTAATAATTTTTTCAGCATCGCAAGGTCGAAGCAATACATACTAGTCTATAAAAAAATTTTTAAATATTCTTTTCAATTAATTTTTAAAACAAATTTTTAAAAATATTTTATATATTCAAATACTTATTATATTATATAAAATTATTGTGAATTATACTCATTGGAGTAAAATTATTGATTGAAGCTTGTTTATGGCACAAACTGAACATCTTGTACATTGTCTGTATAATATTTCACTTATTTATAAAATGTATTTTTTATAAATGAAATGAAATTATATATATAATATATAAGTTTATATATATATGTATAAATTATATATATATATAATATATATATATACACAGATATGACGTTATCTTGATTTTTTCCGATTATTGATGTTACATTATATAACTCTCATTTCTTTCTCTCTGCTACATAAATACTTATGACGTGAAAAAACTTACGAGTAACGTATGATGGCTCAATGCAAGAATATTTAATCACGTAAAAAACTTGAGTTCAAATATATCTATATCAATTTTTTTATAAATATTGGAATATAGAAAATCATAGAAATATATTTTCATATAGGCGATAAACTTAAAAATTTGATATTGAAAATATTTTAATCATTTTACAACTACACACACTATAAATATATAATTGCAAAATAATTCCGTAAATAAATTTCAAGTAATAAATCAATTGCACACATGCACACAGCTGGTATGTAGATCTTTATTAAGTTTATTTTTAAATTTATTTTCTGAATTATTTACGCTTACCGTACGGAAAGAAACTATTGAATTGAAAACTTATAGAACTATTAGTGCACACTAGATCAATAGTAATTTCGCGCACTATTGAAATTTGCACTAGTAGTGTTACATCCACACTAGTAGTGTTACATCCGCACTAGTAGTGTTATATCCGCACTATAGTATTACATCTGCACTAGTAGTTTTACATCCGCAGTAGTAGTTTTACATCCGCACTATTACGTACTTGGTAAGGTATGTATTCGGGGAGATTATATATATATATATATTGTATATATATGTATGTATGTATATATGTATATATATAATCTCCCCGCGATATATATATACATATACGATATACCCTCCATATAATAAGTTTGGAAACATCTCACGTTTTACAGATATAAATAACAGTCGCATGGCAGCGATCTGCGCAGATTTTTGATATGAATATATTGTAAGACGTTCTAAATGGAAATATATCGTCATTTAAACGTCTTACACGATATGTCCATATACCAAAAATCTGCGCCGATATCACTGCCATGCGATTATGCTTTATCTGTCTCTAAATACTCTAAAACTTTAGGTGTTTCCAAACTTATCTGGACGGTGTGATGTACTGGTATATATATACATTATATATATACATTATATATATATACATATATATATATTATTATATATAATATATTGCTATATAGAAATAAAGCAACACTGATTATTTATTTTACATTAATTACTAGTTGTATTTTTATTCGCATAATTAAATTCAAATAATAATATCATGTTAATAATTATAAATATTGAAAAATAATATATTTTAGTAGAATAATTTTATAGATAAAGAGAATAATAATAATTTTAATAAATAATTAATACGAATTAATAATAATAATATAATAATAGTAATTTTAAAAATAAAAATAATAGTTCTAATAATAATAATATAATAATTTTAGATTAATCATTCTTGTTTTTTCTTCGCTTTGACATAGCTGGCTTACTTCTTAATTTCATCTCCTTTATTATTTGGCCCTCTATTTCGAGGAACTGCATTATTGCACTTCTGTTGCACTGCTTTCCGGAATATTTTATCAAAATCTTTTTCTGATGAAAATTTGTTCTTAACGTATGCTGAAAGCACATATATACATGTATTTATCGGTTTTCAAATTGTTACCTATGCGAAATCAATACTTCATCGCACAAATTATGATCACATACTTTTCATAGCTTCAATTTTCACCGTATCGAGTTTCTTTTTAGCGGCTACACCTTTTTCGCAATGAAAATTTGCCACAGTTCCTGTAAGCGAGGAAGTAGCCAACTCTTTTTTGAAAATAACAATGACATCATCTCGCATATCAATTTAGAGGCAGATGTGTGATTGCACAAAGAAAGACGAGTAGCATTCACCACACAAAGTTCTGGTCCTCCCAGGTCGACTGTTTTTTCCTGTGATTTTGTACAAAAAATATGATAAAATAACTTTTAAATAATTATAAAATGTAATGATATTCATATTCATCGCAAAATTGCATCAGATAAAAATTGAAAACCAACCAATTAATATATTTATACTATACACTTAAAAATCAAAATTTCAATCGAAATTCTAAAAATATTAACTTCTATATTAAATAGCGCATTATAAAATAATTGAAATAATTTTTAGGCTTGCGTACTGCGATTGATTGATGCTTATCCGCAGGCTTTATTTTATCTACTGCATTCGATTCGTGTACGTTTTCCAATTCATGTGTGTTGACTACTTTTATATTTTTATTTCTAACGTCTGGATGAGTATCAAAGAAATCTTCCGGTGATGATTCTCGGTTATAATTTTGCGGTAGAATATGTCCGGATGTCGAAGGTTTCGACTCACGTGAGGATGTTGATTCACGAAACTCATCTGTATCCGATCTTTGAGACGATTTTACTCGTATTAACTTATCGCTACTTACAATTGGCTCTAACTCGTTATTTTGCACTATCAATGTTGCAGGCGATACATCGATTTGATTTCGAAATGATTTTAACTTATTGTTTGGTAGATCCAACTTATTGCTGATCCAGATCGGATCAGACTCTAGTGTCATTGCTGGAGGCGGAGTATAATCTTGCTCACGTTCAATAATGCAGTTACTTATTGCTTGTACTTTCTACAAAACAAATAAGCACAATTAGCATATATCGTTTCATATTACAATATATTTACAAATATACGATTTAATGCAAATAAAAGTCAAAATTACATAATATATACCTGTTGCAGTTTATCAATCTGATTATTGAGAGATTCGGTTTTCCATGAAGCACATTGCAAGTCGGCCGTAACATCTTTCATAAATTTATCTATCTTTGGCAAATCTAAAAAAATACATAACGGTGTGATTGTATTAAGAATTGTACTAACAAAATTGAAAAACGCTCGAAAAAGTAGCATATAAAGAAATGTATTTGTAAAGAAATGATTAACGTTTGCACTCGTTGTTTAGAAATCTGTCTATTTATTTGGTGAATTGCTGATAAATGCAATAATTCGACAATTATTTAAAAAAAACTATCGAGATAAAAATTAAAGTTTATCTGTAGTAATGCAATTTGAGCTATACTGAGTAGTAAACAAATTGAAATACTCTGAATAATAATAATATAATTATTAATAATAATAATATAATATAATTCTAATTAATTTTCTTTAATCATTTGACTTTATTTCATAACGGAATATTTAATTTGATTTCTGAGGATTATTAAGAGGAAAATATTCAACAAGAATACCTTCGTTGACAGATCGTAATTTGCGCAGTCTTTCATTGTCTCTTCGTAATCTTTGTTTTCCTCATTTAATACAATGACTGTATCTTTTAATTGTGACTTTGATTGTTTATGAATGAGAGATTTTTCGTTTTCTTCACCAGATTCGTCGTCGCTGATATCTATCGATTTATTCTATAATATGGTATAAATTATATATCAACCTATTTTGTCACGTTTCAAAAGGAAAAGTCTAAAGAACACATTATATACATTCACACACACACACACACACACACACACACACACACACACACACACACACACACACACACACACACGCACGCACGCACGCACACAAATTAAAAAAATACCTGTGACGAATATTTCTGCTTTTTGTGTTTGTATTGTTTTAAAAGTTCTTTTCCTTTTTTTACATTTAGAATACATTTCTATAAATAAAAAATCGTTATACTCTCTTATTCAATAGTATAAATTTATTTTATAGCATGCGATTTTTAAAATCATGATTTATATCTATATAATTATGTATGTTATACCTTTTGTTTCGCATCCTTTTTTGTTTCTTTTACTCCTGATTCATCATTACTATCACATTCTGTATGGTTATTTTTACTCGTGAACTTTTTCTATTACTTCTGTCAAGTTCAGTGATACCATACTTTTCTAAATTGTCTCTGATCTCACACATTTTAATCCATCCTAAAATTTCAATAAAGTGTTATCTCATATCTCTCTTCCTAAGCTCTTATCTAAAAATTTATAAAACTATTTTTATTCAATATTATTGATGCGCGCTTACCTCCATATGCCCGTAATTTTGTTGCAACCACCTCCCATTGACAATTGGCCAATTTTTTTTTCATTGTTGTTGCTACAGGGCCCACATCACAGTCTTTTGGCCATCGAACTTTCACTATCGTCCCGCGTTTAATTACATCATCTAATTCAATGTTTGTGAATTTATTTTCCAGCCATTCTAAATATCCAATAGATATGCTATCTTCTTCATTTGGAAACTCGCACACCATATATCTTTGGTCGTCCATTATCTATACACGAAATAATTAATCATATAATGATAAAATAAATTAATTATGAAATATTGAAATAATTATTTTGTCAAATGTAATATGTATAGGTTAATTGACTTTAATACAACGATTGCATTTATTAAATTATGATAATTCATAACTCAAATATATGTATATGTGAGGAAAGAAACTGAAAAGATATACTCTTGGTGATTATACATTCAAAAAATAACCTATTCTACACATTTATGTCGTATAAATTACATCGAAGATTTCTTACTTACCTAAAGCAAAATCGATGTAAGCCGAAAACAAATGCCACTGCATAACTTTTTGTCGCGCGCACCGGATTTTTTTCGTGCATGCGCGGCGAACGTAGCTTCAATGAAGTATGTATATATATGTACAATAGAGAAAATGTTAAGAATAAATATTAAATATTAGGAAGAAATTAAGAATTATTTTAAAATAATAAAATTGAAAAACTCTGATATATAATTTCATCAAATTCGAATATAAAAGGGCTCTATTTATTACTAATTTATTAAAGACTCCTTTTATTAGTCTTTTAATTATATTCGCGAATTTGTATTTTATATATCACACGCACAGTCTTTTCGATTTATTATTTTAAAATAATTTTTATTCCTAATATTTAATATTTATTTCTAATATATATTTTCTCTATTGTGCGCAATGCCTTAAAAAAGAATATATGTGTATGTATATACATAATAAATAATAAATAAAAAACGGCAGTCATTATATGGCCGCGCATATATATGCGCGAGAATGACACATGCTCGTTTTTGGTTAGTGCATCAATTTGAATCATCAGCAGAAATATTTTATTACGCGACTAATAATTAATTGGTGTAAAATTCTATAGTATCAAAGATAAATGATATAGTATAAAGTGTAGTTCCAGTGTTTCCGCAGAAAAAGATTCATATAAAAGACGTTTAAGAGGTATAATTTTTAATATATTATAAATAATATTTATACTAGGCTTAAGAATGATTTTGTTTCATATAAATAATAGCTTTCGTACATCATTTTTGAACTCATCTCCATATGTATATATTCGTGTGTAATTGTACGTAAAAATGGATGAGAATAATATATTGATTAGAAGAGGATGTTATAAACGATATTTACAAGATGACGATGTACCAGTGCCCGAATCAACAATTCGTTCTCGTAGACGACGAGAACAGATGCCATTACAACAGGTCAGTATATTATAAAATGTAAAGGATTTTAAGGAAAGAGAAATTATAAATATATGTATTATTTATAATATATTAAAAAATCCTTTAATTCTTATTTATTTGCAATAGAGTGTATATTTCTTTATTTATTTAGGAACAAGAAATTAATGTTGATGATTCTATGATATCGAGACAACCATTTGTGAGTTCTAATGACAACACACATACCATTGCTGCTGAAGACATTTCGGAAGATAGTGATTCAAATATAAATGGTCCAATATCTGGCAATCCAGAAAATAAGAATGATACAGTGAGTGTAATCATTGAATCAAATTTCAATCTTTCGGATGAGATCTCAGCATGTTCGAGCGAATCTGATGTTGTGATCGCCAATGATGACGCATCGGATTTGGAAGAAGATATAGTTCAAGACTATGATGAATTCTTAGATGAGTCTGCAGAGAATGTAGCATTGTGTGCCACCAGAGAACAATGATCAGGTACAGGATTCGAGTAAATTGAGATGAGTTATTTTAATTGAGATAAATTTTTCTGATGTAAATAAAGCTTTGCAGTGAAAAATCTGTCACAAATTGCATCAAAAGATGTCAAGGATAGATATATTCAGACTCTCTAAAAAATTATGTGTGCGCTATAGATCTTAATTACTTACATTTAAGAATAACTTCAAATATAAAAAAATAATAATCGAATCCATATTCAATTTACAGGAACGAGTCCCATTATATGAACAATCGAATATATCCAAGATAGAAAGTGAACTCCTCATATTAAACTTTGCGATACGACACAATCTAACTGATGTTGCTCTTGAGGACCTCATCACTTTGATAAACTGTCACCTACCATACTCAGTATACCACACGAAGTATATATTTATGAAGAAATATGATATTCCAGCATCAATTCGTAAATGCTATTATTGTCCAGAGTGTTATGTAAGATTGAAAACTAGTGCAGATGATAGAGCAAAAGAAAACCTTGTTTGCCAAGAGTGCCAATGTAGATATGATAAACATACGTTGAGAAAAAGTGGTAACTATTTCCTATATTTACCTTTAAAACAGCAGTTGCGCGACTTTGTAAACAGCGACAAATATGCTTTGCTTCAAAAAGAAAACGATAATTATTCTGATATAACTTCTGGACAAGTGTATACATCTTTAAAAGATTCTGGGATAATTCAATTACATGATATCACGCTGCAGATCAGTTCTGACGGAGTTCAAGTGTTTCATTCATCGTCTGTATCTATGTGGCCTATACAGGTGATAATAAATGAATTGCCGTATAGAGAAAGGAGAAAAAATATGATGTTGTGTGGTTTGTGGTATGGTAAAGAAAAACCTGATATGAATTTGTTTTTATCTTTACTCGTCGAGGAATTGATCTCATTGCATGAAGTAGGCATTACACGTAACGTGCCAGGCGAAGAAGAAATTCATATTAGAGTACACACAATCGCGTCTCCTGTAAATTCTGTCGCGCGACCTTTATTACAAAATATAAAACAATATAATGGAAGTTTGGTTGCAGCTTTTGCCTGCATGAAGGTATTCACATTGAAGTCGGTAAAGGAATGACAAGAGTATATCCTGGTTACGTAAGGAAACCGCGCACATTGCATCAACATGAAGTAGATTGTGAAATTGCTGTGCAAACTGAAACTACACCTCACGGTGTGAAAGGACCAACAGTTTTAATGCTACTACCGGTCTTTGATATTACATCTTTGTTTACACCTGATTATATGCATTCTGTTTTATTGGAGTTACAAAAACTTTTACGGATGCTTGGTTAAACTCGTCAAATCACGAAAAAAATGGTATATAGGAAACAAAGAGTAGATCTTATGACGAGAAGCTGTTGTTGCAAATAAAACCACGTGTGAAATTACTCGTACGCCCAGATCTATTAATGAAAGAAATTTTATGGAAGGCATCAGAATGGAAGAACTTCTTGCTCTATTACTCTCTTATTTGTCTACAAAACGTAATGCCTTTACAATATGTAAGACACTGGTTTCTTTTTATCTGTACATGCCACATATTTCTACAAGAAAAAATCAATGGCGTAGATTTCGACGGCCCCTAAAAATGCATTGAAAATGTTCGTGTTTAAAATAGAAAATCTATATGGCTTAGAATATTAGAGTTTAATGTAATTTGTTAGTACATATCCCAAGTTTGTTAAACAATTTGGGGTCTATGGGACTACATCTACGTTGCCTTATGGAACATTATAACGGAGTATTAAGGAAAATGTTTCGAAATTCGCAAGCTGTTCCGGAACAGATATGCAAATTATATATGAGATCAAAAGCGCATTGAAAATTCATGTTTGAAAGTATTTTCAAGACCCGATTGTTTCGAAAATGCAAAAATTTTATATTATAAAAATGAGTGAAATGGATCATTCAAAAAATTATCTAGAATATGAACCTTATTTTAAAATATTTGAAAACCGGTTCAAAAAATGTTTACATTAATGGAGCAAACTTGTATAGAAGCTCTTTTACATGAAAATATATTAACGAGTGTGATTGTTACAAACGTTTCATTTTTCGAAATGTATTGTGC